GTGCCCCTCACTCCCGACCCGCAGCCCCTGCTAGCCCAGCCCTGGGCTCCCCACAGCCCTGCCGGTGACCCTCACTCCCGACCCGCAGCCCCTGCTAGCCCAGCCCTGCCGATGCCCCTCACTCCTGACCCGCAGCCCCTTGATCGCCCAGCCCTGGGCTCCCCCCCAGCCCTACCGGTGTGACAGTGGAGGGAGGGGGGAGATTGAATGAGAGAAGGAGGAGAAGAAAGAAGGAATCCCAGGGATGGAGGAGATAGAAAAATAATGGAGGGAAAGAAGAAAAGAAAGAAAGAAAGACAGAGAGAGAGAGAGACTGTGATTTCCCAGAATGCCCTGCTACTGCTCTGCGGTTCAACCCCCCTCCCTCCCAGGCCAGGGCAGCCCATCAGGAATGAGAGGAATCTGCTCTTTAAACATCCGGCCCGAGCAGCCCAGGGCTGGTCCCTGCTCTAACCACTAGACCCCCCTCCCCTCCCCTCGATGGGAGAGAACCCAGGAGTCCTATTGATGTGACCCTAAGTGGGGCAGAGAATCAGAAAACGTGAGTCGGCGACACCAGCTGTCCAGTTTGAGGAACTCTCGAAGATTGGCTGGGAGAGGCTGGGAACGGGGCACGGGGCCTTTCCCCTCTAGGGGGCGCCGGCTCCCTCCAGGCCCTAGGGCAGGGACTGGCTGGCTCAGGGGGCTGGGGAATGGGTCACGGAGCCTTTCCCCTCTAGGGGGCGCCGGCTCCTTCCTGGACCTAGGGCAGGGACTGGCTGGCTCAGGGGGGCAGGGAATGGGGGCACGGGGCCTTTCCCCTCTAGGGGGCCCCGGTTCCCATCCGGCCCCAGGGCGGGGACTGGCTGGCTCGGGGGGCAGGGAATGGGGCTGTTCCCCTCTGGGCACAGTGTGGGCCCCGCTCTCAGGCTCAGGCGCCCCATAATTCAGACCACACGCGAGCCTCACATTTGCAGCATGTTTTATTCACGCTCCCCAGATTCATCACCCCGTATAAATATTGCACTTGTGAAAAGGCCCCGAAGGGTCAACATTTCCCACTATTTATTGCTTTTCCCCTTCCTGTTTTTGGGGGGTGGGGAGAGTCGACCGCCCCCCCCCCCCCGCCAGGAGCCGAGCGGCCGTGAAGGGCACATAGTGGTATGGAATTGAGCCATCCAACCGCATCACGGCGCCCCCGCGGGCTGAACCTGAACATGTGGGTCTCCCCCCCGTCAGCCTCCCTCTCGAAAACGGCTGAATCCATTCGCCCCGAATAGCCCCCCCCCACCCCCAACCCAGCCTGCTGCAGAGCTGGGAACTTTCAGCCCTGGCCGTTTTGGTTTGGCTGAGTTATAAGCAGCCCCCCAAAAAGGGGGCTGGGAATGGAAACTGTTAAGCAACCTTAGGACTGGTGGCGCTGCAGCGCTGACTAGCACAGAGCGTCCCCCTCTGGTGGCCGCAGGGGGTACTACATGCAATGAGGACCTCTGATTCCCTGCTGCGCCCCCTAGCCTCAGATCTGCACCAATCAAAACAGGAGGTGGGTGGGTTGGGTCCATTGGTGGGGGCTGAACAATGAGGAGGGGGTCATACCATTTCTGGGGGGAGGACATGGAGGGGGCACTGTGGAGACTGAGGTTGTACCATTTAGGGGGCAATAGGGGGGTTCTAAGGCTGGGGAGTCATACCAGTTAGGTGGAAATGGGGGGAGGATTGTGGAGAATAGGGTACATACCAATTGAGAAGAAACAGGGGTGGTGGTAGCTGTACCATTTGGGGGGAAATTGGGGGGAGAAAATGGGGGGACATACCACTTCAGAGGAAAAGGGGGTGTTGGAGATTATACCATGGGGGTGGGGGACTGTGCAGACTGGGGGGCTGTACCACTTGGGTCAAAATTCCGGGGGGTTGGAGTATAGGAGTTGTACCACTTAAGGGGGAACAGAGGGGAGATTGTGGACAAGGGAGGTCATACCATTTGGAGGGAGAAGGGGAGGGGCTAAATTTTAAAGTTTGCCCCCGTTCTTAAATAAATAGTGGAAGTAAAAAAACAACAACAACAAAAACAACAAAAAGATGCCCAGAGGTAGGAAATTGGAACGAGCGGCACATATGCGCTGGGGGCTGTTCCTTTAAGAGGCGTGGTAGCCCGAATGGAGCAGGTGGTAGCCAGATGCCCGTGAAGAAATCTATACCCATGCAGAGGTCCTTAGCGTGTCTAGTCTGGGGAGACGCCCTCACAGAGAGTTGGGGAGGGGGGAGTCTGTGAGCCGGGTGGGGGTCCGGTGGTCCAGCTCCCCCAAGCAGCACCCTCGCCAGTGGGGGGAGCTCTGCCAGCTGGGGGGGCACCGTGTCCATGGCTTCCTCACGAGCGGGATGCTTCTGTCTTGCCCTCCAATTTCCTCTTCCGTTTCTCCATCACGGCTTCCAGTTCGGAGGTTTTCTTAAAGTCCTGGGAGGGCAAAGAGGACGTTAGTCACGGCCCTAGGTACCCGCAGCCCCTTCCCCGAGCCGGGAGAGAACCCAGGAGTCCTGGCGCCCAGCCCCCTCCTGCTCTAACCACTAGACCCCACTCCCCGACAGAGAACCCAGGAGTGCTGGCGCCCAGCCCCCTCCCCTGCTCTAACCACTAGACCCCACTCTCCTCCCAGAGCCAGGAGAGACCCCAGGAGTCCTGGCTCCCAACCCCCCACCCCCCACTCTAACCACTAGACACCACTCCCCAACCAGAGCCGGGGAGAGAACCCAGGAGTCCTGGGGGCAGATCGTGGTACCTCCAGCATGGCCTTGTGTACGGTGACCTGGCTGTAGACTCTGGCTCCTTCCTCGGGGCTGACGGCCTGGAACTCGGCTTTGCACAGCGAGAAGAGCTGGGATCCGTTCAGCACCCCCAGGGTGGTCACCGTCCTGGGGGGGGGGAGGCAGGGGGGGACAGTCAGGCCAAGTGCCCCACAGAGCCCCTCCCACTGATACCCCCCATCCCGGCACTGCGAGCTTCCCCCCAGGCAGTGACCCTCCCAGTGCTGCGAGCTTCCCCCCGGCAGTGCCCCCAGCCATGACGCTGGTGGACACTGAGGCAAGAGAGACTTTAAACAGCACCACACATCCGCACCTCAGCTGCCACGTGATTGGTTAATACCCCCCCATCCTCTTTTCTGATTGGTCCAATTAATTATTAGCATCTTTTGCCGCTTCGCCGGCTGTCCAATGAAATGCGATCATGAAGGATTCCATGGGAAGGCACCACCCAATAACAGCTCGCCTGGGATCCAGCCGACCAATCGCAGGTGGCGGTTCTGAGCCACCACCAATCAGGGAGCAGCAAGAGGAGAAGTGGGCTCCTCCAGCAGGGAAGAACCAGCCAATCAGAGCGGAGAGGAAAGTTGATTCAAGCAATCATGGGGGGGGGGGGGTTGTGAGTTCCACAAGCCAATCAGAAGCCAAGAGGCTCCAGACCAGCCAATCAGAGCAGAAAGAAAGGACGTATCAGACAGCAACAATGTCGCAGCCCTCCTCCCAACCAATTAGAAACCAGGAACTGCCGAGCCGGCCAATCAGAGTGGACATAGGGCTGGCAAGCAGAGGATGGCGGGATGCCCCCACCAGTCAGAAGCCAGGAGGTGCCGAGCCAGCCAATCAGAGCAAAGCTGGGCTGGCAAGCAGAGGATGGCGGGATGCCCTTGCCAATCAGAAGCCAGGCGGTGCCAAGCCAGCCAATGGGGAAGCAGAGGCGTATCAAGCTAGCCAATCAGAGCGCGCCCATGTGCCCGCGCCCGTCCCAGTGCCCAAGGCCCACTCACAGGGGCTCGAAGCCCTTGGCCTCCAGCCAGGCCTGGACCTGGGCGGGGTCGGAGTCGTGGTCCAGCGGCACCGCCGTGTCCGGCGTCCGGTGCACCGGGAAGGGCTTGGCGGGGGCGCCCCGGCCGGCCGCCAGGCGCTGCAGCAGCTCCTCGTTCAGCCGCTCTGCAGGACGGGAGAGCTGCCCGTTACCCAGCATGCACCGGGAGAGGGGCGGGGCCTGGGGACCCCTCTGGGATACAGCCCCCCCCAGCCTCCCCCCACACACACACAAGGGGCGGGGCCTGGGGTCTTTATGGGGGATCCCATTCCCCCCACACATAGGGGGCAGGTCCTGGGGTCTCCATGGGGTACTGCCCCTCTCCCCTCACATATAGGGGGCTCCTTACCTCTCTCATTGGGGTCTAGGCCAAGCCCCTCTGAGCCGTTCCACTGGGTCCCATTCGGGGCTGGGACCTTTTTCTTCAGAGCCGGCAGGCCTGGGGGGCCCTAGTCAGGATCGCAGGCAGGGGGAAGAAATATTAGTCCCCCATAGCGCCATGTCCCATTCCCTGCCCCCCTGAACCAGCCAGTCCCCGCCCTGGGCCCGGATGGGAGCCGGCGCCCCCTAGAGGTCCAATTCTCCACTCCCGTATTGCTGGGCTCACCGGGGCTCTGGTCTGGCGGGGGCTGGAGCCGGCGCTGCCGGTGCCGTTGAGCAGGTCGCCCGGGCCTCGGTTCTGGGGGGCCGGCAGCGGGCTGAGGATGTTGAAGGGGACGTAGCCTTGCTGGCCGGAGCGGTTCTGAACCTTCCACCACTTCTTGGTGTTGTCCAGCACCTGGAGGGAGAGACGCTGAGCCACGGGCACTGTCCCGGCCGGGGCGGGGAGGTGTGTCCTGGCGCTGCAAACTTCCCCCCAGCAGTGCCCCAGCGCTGTGAGCTTCTCTCCCAGCAGTGCCCCCAGCTGGGAACCCTGGATGCTGCAAACTTCCCCTCAGCAGTGCCCCGGCACTGCAAGCTTCCCCCCCAGCAGTGCCCTGGCGCTGGGAGCTTTCCCCCAGCAATGTCCCCAGCTGGGGACCCCTGATGTTGCGACCTTCCCCCCACAGCAGTGCCTCGGTGCTGTGAGCTTTCCCCCAGCAGTGCCCCCAGCTGGGGACCCCTGATGTTGCACCCTTCCCCCAGCAGTGCCCCCGTGCTGTGAGCTTCCCCCCAGCAGTGCCTCCAGCAGGGGACCCCTGACGTTGCGCACTTCCCCGCCCCCAGCAGTGCCTCAGTGCTGCGAGCTTCCCCGCAGCAGTGGCCCCAGCCAGGGAAACCCACAGACAGACTCACCTCCAGAAGCTCCCCCTGCAGGACAGACAGTTCATTGCTGTTCCTGGCTACAAAGTCGTAGTTGCAGCTCACAAGCGTGCTGTCTTCTGTCCGTCTGTGGCTGGGGGGAGAGGGGAGGAAAACTGGGTCAGGGGGTGTGACGAACTGAGACTGTTCTTAAAGTAGTCTGTGAATGCTGACAG